CTATGCCCCGACCCTCTGCCTCTGCCCCTTCCAGCTGAGTCCCTTGTTCACTCACTGATACACTGAGCATCCATTTTGGGGGGCACTTGTCATGCACCAGGTGCTGCAATAGTCATTGTGGGAGATACAGAGATAGGGTATGGTGTCTGCCCTCAAGACTTTAGAACCTAGTGATGGGGTGAGATACACTCATGGCCATAGTGAAAAGGCAAATGGAATGTCACGCACCCTTTAAAACACACACACACACACCCCAGCGGCTCGCATTGTCCATGGAATCACATCTCTTTGTCTGACAGTCAAAGCCCTCACTGTCATCCCTACCACTCTCTGCTTTAGCCAAACAGACCACTCCCTCTTGCCCACTTTCTCGCTTTCAGACTTTTGAGTGCAAGTTACTGAGTCAACAATCGCTTTTATTGACTTCTTACTATCACCAGCCCTATGCTAGTTTCCAAGAGAACAAACATATATAATACGCACTTGGAAGAGTTTGAAATGGCGGGGGGCTGGCGGGGATGGGGGACAGATAAACAGATTCATGACGCTGTCCTAAGTGTTCTGAGAGAGGTTAGTATGTAAAGGCCCTGGTCTGCCTTTACATTCTCTTCATTGTCTTTTTGATAAATAAGGGTTCTTCATTTTAATTGTAATGTTCTCTAAAAAAGCAGTTGATACTGCCTGAGAAATCCTGCCTCTGGGTGCTTTGGGTGCACATGTGGACTGCGGACATTTGGGAAGGAAATAGACACCAGGACATTTGGGAAGGAAATAGAACATGACACCTACATCCACCACCGTCAGTGGTGAGCACTGTTCACTAAAGGGACATATATCCAAGTGAGTCTGCTTCACAAACCCCTTGGAATTATAGATTGCTTTTTCCTTTCTTTCTGTAGAACCAGAGAGAACCTTGGAAAATGCTGTGTTAACAGACCATTTCACCCCCAGCACCCTGACACATCCCACTGTGGATGGGAGAGTCTCAGACAAGGCCTGGGTTGGTGAAGACACATCGTCTCTGTCTACAGTCTCCCTATTAGAATCTATTCTGATTAGAGAGAGATTTCAACAATCAATTGCTAAGGGAAATGTTTCTGTTGAAAGACTTTCAAACAAATATGGTTGCTTCCTGCCATCCTCAAAGGAACCCCAAACCAAGAGATTGGGTAGAACCTTGCTAGGCGTGCAGGGAACCGTGTGCCAGGAACAGAGACATGCAGGGCCAGTGTGAGCTGCTCACTGCTTTCCTGCCCTGTTCCCCCAGATAGTCACAACAGAGCCCAGTCTGCCCACTGGCCTCTCTTTCGGGATCTGTAACAAGAAGGCAACCAAGATAGTGTGTGGCTAAGCTGACAAGGAAATGGCTGGCTGCTTTTTGGCTGGTGGCTAGGCGGGCACCCGGGAAGAGCCTCACTGCCAAATCGAGGAGGCTCTGATGGGCATAAGCTAGCTGGAGGGGCATTCTGTAAGAGGTTATGGATTAAAAAGATCATACCACTTTTCAAGAAGCATCCAGAATCACAGCAATGACAGCAAATTCGCAACATTTTTCTTTTTTAGATTCATTTTTTTTTTATTGTGGTAAATATATATCTAACGTGGGATTCGCCATTTTAACCATTTAAAATATATTCAATAGCATTAAGGACATTCACATTGTTTGTTATAGAACCATCATCACCATCTCTCTCCAGAAATTTTTCAACTTCTCAAACTGAAACTCCATATCCACTAAACAATAATGCCCGTCCCCATCTCCCCACCAGCCCTGGCAACCACTACTCTACATCCTGTTTCTATGAATTTGACTACTTTAGGTACTTCATGGAAGTGGAATCACACAATAAACTCATTTTACACAAATAATTCATGCTGATATTCTCAGTGAAACAAAATCAAATACAGAAACAGTGAGTCTAAATGTCTGCATGCAAATTTAGATACCCAAGAAATGTTGACTACCTTATTTTTCTGTAATCAAACCTAGTTTCTGTTTCCAGCCCTTTTTCCATAGAGTAGCAGCAACTTAATCTCTGTTAATGCAGGGACTCCCCGGTCATTTTCTTCAGAGCAGTCTCTAATTTTCTAGAGGGCTCCCGATGTGCCAGATGCATGGTGCTTGGTTATCAATACTTTTTTTTTCCTCTTAGCTATGGGATGTCCTTAGGAATCATCAGGAGAGGTTTTTTTTAAGATTTTATTTTTTTTTAAGTACACATTTCTTTGCCATCTAGTGTTTTATTTTATTTATTTATTTATTTATTTTTTAAGATTTTATTTATTTATTTGAGAGAGAGAGAATGAGAGACAGACAGCACGAGAGGGAAGAGGGTCAGAGGGAGAAGCAGACCCCTCGCTGAGCAGGGAGCCCGATGTGGGACTCGATCCCGGGACTCCAGGATCATGACCTGAGCGGAAGGCAGTCGCTTAACCAACTGAGCCACCCAGGCGCCCTTATTTTATTTTTTTAAAAGGATTTTATTTATTTAAACAGAGAGAGAGCAAACACAAGCAGGGGGAGCCACAGAGGCAGAGGGAGAAGCAGGCTCTCCACTGAGCAGGGAGCCCAATGTGGGGCTCAATCCCAGGAGCCGGAGATCATGACCTGAGCAGAAGGCAGACACTTAACCAACTGAACCACCCAGGTGTCCCTTATTTATTTATTTTAGAGGAGGAGGGGAGAGAAAGAAGAGGGGCAGAGGGAGGAGAGAAACCCAAGCAGGCCCCAAGCTGAGCGTGGAGCCTGATGTGGGACTGGATCTCACCACCCTGAGATCATGACCTGAGCCCAAATCAAATCACTTAACTGACTGGCCCACCCAGGTGCCCCCTGGTTATCAATACTTTTCCTTTCTGGCATCCATTAAGCCATACGATCCTGTCTGCTCTCGGGCTATGGGTTCCATCGGAGCCCAGTCACACCCCCTCAGCCTTATCCAAGGGCTCCCCAGGCATAGTGACCCTCCCCCCTTTCCCTCCCTCTACTTCAGAGACTTGGTTGGTCTCTCCAAGCCCATCACTTCTTCCTTGCTACTCAAGGGCAGTCCTCAGTTCTGCAAGCCGGGCTGAGACTGGGATGAGCAGGAATCTTGAAGCTTGTCTTAGGCCCCCTGCCTGGGCACACCCCAGTGCTGGCCAAGAACAAGAACATTTTCTTCCATAATCACAGTAACATCATTGCACCCACGAAGTTTGACACTGACATAATATTCTATTTTCTGATGTAGAGTCCATATTCAATTTTCTCCAAAATGCCCTCTATGACTTTCAAAGAGAATCTAGGGTCCTACGAAGGGTTACATATCGCAGCATTGCATTTGAGGGAGAGGGGCCCAGGCAGCTCCGGCTCTTGGCACAAACTAAGTCTTTGGATCCCTTGAAAATCTCAGACAAACCTGGCACCTGAAGTTCTCAGTGGACTGTTTTCCGCTTCTTGCCAAATGCTCCTCCAGCACATGTGGATTCCAAGGTGGATTCTGGAGTCTGCATCTGCCTCGTCTTGAAGCCTTTTGAGGGTTTGCGCTATTTTTGGAATTGGACCACAGTCTCTCTAGTTAAGCCTGGTCTTCCTTCTGCTCACCCTGGTAGGTAGGGGTTGGGGAGTGAGCATTTCCAGCCTCCTCCTGCTGAGAAGTGAAGCAGGGCATGTACCCGCATGCCCTCTCAGCCCCACAGAGGAGCACCCCGCCAACCCCTGGGCCTGGAACCCCACCCTCCTATTGCTACAACAACCACTTCTGTGAGGTCATGGAGGCTAAAGAATTGTGAGCGTGTAGTGGGCGGGGAGCGGACACGCCGGAGGCTCATCACATTAGTGATCAGAGAACTTTATGATCCTGAAGAAGAAAGAGAATGTGTCTTTATCTTCCATCCTCAAAGTAAGGGGGCAGGCAGGCGCACAGGCAGGACAAGGCCACTGACCCTGCCGTCCCGCTCGGCGTGAGCTGCTCCCTCCTGACTGGCTCCTTCTCTCCCCCAGGAGACCAAAGAAGCTTGGAGAGCCCCAGGGGCAGAAGATCCCTCCTTTAACACCTTTGCTGTACGCTTGACACCCATCCACAGCTTGGCTGATGACCTCGGCTACCAAGGGAGCCAGGAGCCGGCCAGTGTGAGTGCCCCCCACCCTGCACCCCCCTCCCCTGGGGTCCCGCACCCCCTGCTCGACCACCACATGGGCAATTTCCCTCAGTACTTCCCCCAGGATGTCCTGTGGCAACCTTCCATATCTTCTCTACATCCTTCCAATTCACATCTTCACTAAACATGGCTCAAACTTACGGCTTCCAGAATAAAATACCAACAGCGATAGTAAGCACAGCTTACCTATGCGGCTCTGTGAGGTAGATACTATTATTATCCCTGTTTTCAGATAAAGAAACTGAGGCACAGGCGAGTGAAATAACTCTGCCAAGATGACATGCGTCAGAAGCAGACATGCCAGGTGCCCAGCTGTGTGTCCGACCCCAACCCCCCCACAACTGCTCCCAGTTCATGACCCCCTGTTTACCAGTCCTCCAGGGCTTCCTTTCAACATTTCTGGGCTGGAAACACAGCTGGTAGAGGGCCTTAGCTGTTCGTTGATTGGAGGGGGGGTCTGTCTGTGTCAGCGGTCACTGACACAGTAAATTGCTCACATTTGAAGTGCAGTTGGCCGAGCTGACACGTACTCGGGAGACCACCACGATCACAACAGACGTATCTGTCACCCCCAAGCAGGAACAGCCAGGGTTTCCAGAACAGATCCCTTAGCGGGCCAGGATCTGCCTTTCAGAAGGAGTCTGTATTTACCCACGGTATCTGCGTTCGGATCATCCTGCGTTCAGCATCTGCCTGAGCGCAGAGCGCAGGGGCTGTTTGGGGACTTCCCTGTGGTCCCCTGCGGGGGGGGCAGGCCTTGCTGCCCGGCCCGAGCCTTCCCTCTGACCTCACTTGCCCGCTCAGACGCGAAGTCCCGTGCGTCGCGGGATGGGTCAGTGGAGAGCACGCTTCATTCCTCGCTCTCGGATTCCCCAAGGGGCAAGACCCCGGAGGCGGAAGCGGAGCCCGAGGAAGGACGAGGTGAAGGAGGAGGACGAGGGCGGCAGGGCCGGGCGCGCGGGCTGCCCCCGGCCTGGCGGGCGCGCGGGCGGCGGCTCAAGGAGCGCCCCAGCGCCCCGGGGAGCAGCCCCAGCTCGCTCACGTCCCGGACCGGGGCTTCGCGCCGGAGCCCGGCCGCCTCCCGCCAGTTTGTGTGCGGCGCGGGGGCCGGGGCCGGGCGCGCCGGGGTCGGAGGGAACCGCCAGCGGCCCGGCTAGGCCGACGCGCAGCGCGGGCAGGGGGCTCCGGGGGCGCGCCCAGGAGAGGCGGGGCCCGGAGCCAGGAGCGCCCAGACGACAATCCTTCGTAAATAAAGCCCAGTCTCTTTTTGAGGTTGGCAAGTCCCAGCCCCATGATGGCAGGTTTGTCTCCGGATTGACGGATTGGAAGATGGATGGGTTGATCTGGGGGGACATGCACCCATTTTCTTCCTCCCCTCCCCGCATATGTCTCTGAGCCCTTCCTCATCCTTTGCATCTCTAGGGCCGAGGCCTTGGGACCCTGGGGGCCTGCAGCTCCGAGAAGGGAAAGAGCAAAGGGCCCCACGCGGGGGTGGGGGTGGACCGTTCTTCAGCCCCTCAACCCTCCGAAGCTCTGCGCTCTGCCGAGGACTCACAGCCCAAAGCAAAGCTTGTGGGCTCCCCACTTAGCAAATGGTAAGATGGGAGCAAAAGCTGTTTGCCCGCGTGGGGCTGCAACCAAACCCGCCTGGCCTCCTTCCTCCGCCTGAGTGAGGGGAGAGGGGCCTTGGCCTCCAGGACCCCGGACCCTGCCCCTGCCCCTGCCCCACCCGCTGCTAGCAGGAGGGCAGCTGTGCCGGGGGCAAATGGGGAAGTACAGATGGGCAAGGTGGGGCTCCCTGCAGGTGGCTGAGACGGGGGCTCGCAGGGGAAGGGCAGCGAGGGCGCAGGAACCGCGGGAAGAAGGCTGAGCAGGGCTGTGGCCTCAGGGGGTCCAGTGAGCTCTGTAGCAAGAGCAGCCCCACAAACCCAGTGGCGCTTTTGAGGCCTATTAATCACTGCGAGCTGCCCAGGGTTGGGGGGTGGGTGCCTTCCCCAGCAGGGCAGCCCCCTGTTGATGGAGGGTCCCTGCTGTGAGCTGTTAGCAAGCCCCCCGGAAGGAGCTGGGGGTCGGTGTGCGGCGGGAACAGGGCCCCGCCCAGGTGCCATCCCAGCAGCTCTGATAATTCACTGAGATTTGTTGTTTCCCAGGGCATACTTAATTTTGTAAATGCCCCGTGCATGCTTGAAAAGTGTATTACAGCAATGTGCCTAAAAATAAAAACACAAATAAGGGAGAAAGGACAGCTCTTCCTCCAGAAGGATGGCCACTGACAACACAGGAGGAGTGGGGGGTGTGGGAAACCCCAGCGCAAGCCGGTCGTGAGTGCTGCAGCCGGACCTGCGATCGGGAGCGGAATTATGGATGGATATTTGAGAAACAGGATATCTGCATAGTCTCAAAGCCTCTCCCTCAAGATATTTATTAATTGCAGAGGTAAAATGATACCTTTACAGCGGGATACCCAGCAGGCACCACACCCTTTTCACCAAGTTGTCAAGGCCACAGGAACTCATCGTGAGACACTCGGACGTCGCATCCCCTGCCACGATGTGCTGGAAAGACCCACTGCTTCTGGGGCGTGCTCGTTACAATGCATGACCATCTACCCATGAGAGGACTTCAGACAAACCCGGACTGAGGGACATCATCTAAAGTAATTGAGCGGTACTCTTCAGAATGCCGAGGCTCTACGAGCCTCAGAAGGACCGAGGACTGTCACACGCTATCACACGACAGCCCAGTATTCCGGACTGGATCCTCCAACAGGAAAAGGCTGTCAGTGGACAAAGTGGCAACATTCAAATAACGTGTCTGTAGTTGAGCTAACGTGGTCACACCCATGTTAATCAGTTTGTTAATGGTACTCGTGGTTACGCAAAATACTGACAGTGGAGGAAGCTGGGTGAAGAATGTATGGAGACTGCACTACTTTTGCCAATCCCCTGTAAGCCCCAGCTCCTTCAAAATAAAACTTTGAATAAATGCTCAGTTTAAGAACTTACAGTAACCACTGCTCAGGTTGAGAAATGGGACATTATTATCACTCGTGTGTCTTCCTTCCGAATCACAACTTCTGACTTCTCATACAGGTAACTACTGTGATGACCTTGGTGATAATTACTTCCTTGCTTTGCATAATGGATTTCCCTTCTAGACAGCCGTCCTTAAAAAGTAAAGTTTAATTTTGGGGCCCCTGGGTGGCTCTGTGAATTAAGCGACAGACTCTTGATTTCGGCTCAGGTCATGACCTCAGGGTCCTGAGATGGAGCCCTGTGCTCAGCAGGGAGTCGGCTTGGGATTCTCTCTCCCTCTCCCACTGCCCCTCTCCCTGCTCGAACTCTCTTTCTCAATCAATCAAATCTTTAAAAAAAAGTAAAGTTTAATTTTGCCTGTTTTAGAATTTTATATATGTGAAATCATACAGCATATTCTTTTTTACGCCCCCACCCCGTTTGCTTTGTTGTGTTTTTTATTTCATTAATTAAAAACTTTTTTATTGTGGTAAAATACACAACTTAACATTTACCATCTTACCCATTTTAAGGGCTCACTTCAGGGGTACTAAACATTCACACTGTTGAACGACGACCGTCCCCGTCCGCCTCCCGAACGCTTCATCCTGCAAAACTGAAACTCCATCCCCATCGAACACGAACTCCCCGTTCCTCCTGCCCCAGCCCTGGCGGCCACCACCTGCTTTCTGTCTCTGCGGGTCTGACGATTCTGAGTGCCTCATAGCATCATATAGTGTTTGTCTTTATTGTGACTGGTTATTTCACTCAGTGTAATGTCCTCGAAGCTCATCCATGTTGTAGCACGTGGTGGAATTTCCTTCCTTCTCAAGGCTGAGCAATATCCCATGGTGAGTCTCTACTACATTTGGCTCATCCATTCATCCATCGGTGGACAGCTGGGTTGCTTCACGTTTTAGCTCTTGTGAATAATACCACTATGAATATGGGTGTACAAATATCTCTTTAAGAAAAGAAAAAAAAATTAAGGCGCCCTGAAAAAAAAAATCTGTATCTTAGAATTAATGATATATGTTAGTCCTTATTGTTATTGTTTCTCTGCCTACGGCTATCAATTACAGAGAGCAGTGTATTCAGATCTATGATTGAGGTTTTTTCCAATTCTCTTTGTAGTGCTCTCAATTTTTTCTTTTTTCTTTTATTTTTTTTTAAAGATTTTATTTATTTATTTGACAGAGAGAGACAGCGAGAGAGGGAACACAAGCAGGGGGAGTGGGAGAGGGAGAAGCAGGCTTCCCACTGAGCAAGGAGCCCAAAGTGGGGCTCGATCCCAGGACCCTGGGATCATGACCTGAGCCAAAGGCAGACGCTCAATGACTGAGCCACCCAGGTGCCCCTCTTTATATATATATATAAAATATATGTGTCTCTCTCTGTCAAATAAATAAATAAAATCTTAAAAAAAAAAAGACTTACTTATTTGATAGAGACACAGTTAGAGAAGGAACACAAGCAGGGGCAGAGGGAGAGGGAGAAGCAGGCTTCCCGCTGAGCAGAGAGCCTAATGTGGGGCTTGATCCCAGGACCCTGGGATCATGACCTGAGTCGAAGGCAGTTGCTTAACGTCTGAGCCACCCAGAGGCCCCTTATGCACACTTTCTATTCTGTGTATTCTCTCTCTTGTCTTAAATAAACTTTTTATTGTGAACAATTTTAGATTTATAAAAAAAACTGTTACAGTGAAGAGTGTTCCTATATACCCCACACCCATTTTTAACACCTTACATTACCATAGCACATCTGTTACAGTGAATTAATTGCTACTGATACATTATTATTAAGTAAAGTCCGTACTTCATTTAGATTTCTTTAGTTTTTAGCTAGTATCTTTTTTCTGTTCCAGGCTCCCATCCCAGATGCTACGTTACATTTGATTGTCCCGTCTCCTTAGGCTCCTCTTGACTGTGACAGTTCCTCAGACGTTCCTTGTTTCTGATGACCTTGACAGTTCTGAGGAGTGCGCAGATGGGGTATGCATGGTGTTGTCCTCGTGCTTAGACGGGGGTCGTGCATTTGGGGAAGAAGAGAACAGAGGTCAAATGCTGTTTTTATCACATCATCTCGAGTACATGCTTTCAACCTGATTTATTGTTGACCTTGCCCCCAGGCTGAGGTCGTGTCCCCTCTCTAAAGTCACCCCCGCCCCCCGCCCCCTTTCCAGACTCTGGAAGGGAAGCCTGTGCAGCCCACACCTGAGGGGTGGGGAGTTATGCTATGCCTCCTTTAGGCAGAATATTGACATAAGTTGTTTAGAATTTTTCTGCACACATCTGTCTTTTTTCACCCATGTTTTATTCACTTATTTATTCGTATCAGTAGCTTCATGGGCATGTACTTTACACTCTGGGTTATAATTCTACGCCACACTATTTGTTGGTCACGTTGTTCCAGCTTTGGCCATTGGGAGGTCCTTCAGGGGCTCCTGTGTCCCTCATGCCATGGCCCAGTCACTGTGGGTCTTCCCTTCCTACGGGAGGCTCCTCCCTCCTCTAGCACAACTCCTGTCCCGGCATCAGCCGCTCCTCCAAGGAGCCCTGGGTGCCTTCACTGGAGAATAGAGTTAGAGACCAAGGCCTGGGCACCAGGTGCGCATGAAGCCACCAACTGCCCCGAGGGCCCCCTCTCCACGGGGAGCAAGGACGGACGTGTGCTAACTCGGGCATCTACAGATATTTCCATCTGCATCTGAATTAAGCTAAACACGAGTTCATGCTGATGTCTCCACCTCAAATCCATTAGGACGTGGGTCATTCTAGCCTCATCCCCTCGCTTGTCTATAACTCCGGCTCCCACAGTGAGAACCACGCTCCCCTGGGGACCCACCATTTACTTAGTTGTTCAGTTCTAGCTCCGTCTATTGTGGTATCAGGATTGTTAACAAGACATCCATGGGACACGTCCCAGCCAGAGCACAGCGCTAGGTTTCCTTTGTCTTTGCTTTTACAAATTCCACTCATTTCCGAGTAGCCTGAGTCCGCATCTATGCCTCCTCCGTGAGGTGATTGCATACATTTATAATAGACTTAGATCCTCTGGTTACATTCTACCTCCCGTCCCGGGGTCCTCTGACTTCCCAGATGGCATGTGTGTTTCCAGTTTGCATACCCTAGGGTTTCCTCTGCTGGAAAGTTCTATGGGTTTTGGCAAGTGCACGGTGTCACAGATCCACCAGGGCAGGATCGTGCACGATCGCTTCCCCATCCTGAAAAATCTCCTGGACTTTTTTTTTTTTTTTGTCTTGCTTTTGAGTCCTCACTTTATTTTTCTCCCTCTAGTTGTTTGGTGGGTACACATTGTGCTTATTTGCTGGGTGGGAAAACTTCCATCCTGGGGGCGCCTGGTGGCTCAGTCGGTGAAGTGTCTGCCTTCGGCTCAGGTCATGATCCTGGGGTCCTGGGATCGAGCCCTGTGTCGGGCTCCCTGCTCAGCGGGGAGTCTGCTTCTCCCTCTCCCTCTGCCCACTCTCCACTTGGTCTTTCTGCCATCGTGCCACATCTCGTTTGGTAGTTCCTGGTCTCTGCTGAAACTTCCAAGTTGAGTCTTTAGCTTGAAATGCTAAGCAGCCATTTTCGTCTCTGTCTGTAATTCCAGCCGACGGAATTGCCGTGGGTCCATCCATTGTCCCTCGTTCCTGCTTGGTCTTGCGGGCAGTGCCTTATCTTGTCGGTGCTTCATTCACTTTTACTGTGGTTGACGTTATGTTCCTGGAGATTTCTGCTGCTTCTACCTAGCATCTGGAGACGCCAGCCATCTGGGATCGTCTTATTCCAGGTCTGAGGCTTGAGAACTTCCGGGCCACCCAGAATGGTGCTCCACTGCAGAATCCGTGACTGGTTTGTTCCCAATTCATCCTTCAGGGCCCTGGACCAAGTGCTGGATCTTTACCAGCATCCTCAGACCCCCTTCCTGTCCCCCTAGCTCCAGTCCTTCCAGGCTCTCCAAGCACAACTCAGCCCCTTGGCCATGTTTTCCTGGACAGAAGCCCTGGGTCTGAGGCAGCGTTTCGGGCCTTCCCACCCCCTTGCACTCCGCACCTGTCTTGTTGGCCCTTTGATGCTTTTCCGGTATTTTCTGTTTTTCACCCAGCTTTTAAAACTCGTAGTGAGGGGCGCCTGGGTGGCGTCTGCCTTCGGCTCAGGTCATGGTCCCAGGGTCCTGGGATAGAGCCCCACATCGGGCTCCCTGCTCAGCGGGGAGCCTGCTTCTCCCTCTGCCACTCCCCCTGCTTTTGTGCTCTCTCAAATAAATAAATAAAATCTTGAAAAAAAGAAGTGTAGTGAAAGTGCTGGTGTGGGACGTCCAGTCCACGTTACCCGAAGTGGGGCCTCTCACTGACGGCTCCATCCTGTTGCACGGTGGCCTCGTCTGTAACCTCATGCACGGGACAACCCATCACTAGACTTCCCTCAGTTCACACGAGCCGTGGGACGCGCCGGCCAGGCTTGGTCTTGGAGCTCAAGACCAAAAGCTCCTAGACTTCACTTGCAGAAGGTCTGGACTGCAAGGCTCTCCTGTGTTTTGACCTTTTTCCCTGAGGTGAGGGGAGAACAGTCTTGCCATCGCATCAGAGGGAGGAAGGACCTTTCTACACTCCTCTCCGCCGGGAGCGGGGGATGGGGACTGGCGCTGCGCAGCCCTTCCCGGCTCTGAGCCCCCGACTGAGTTCCACCAGCTCTCCCTTCACCTCTGCCCACTGAACCCAACTGCCACTTCCTCCAGATCCCACTTTATAAAAACCCCCTCGAACCAAGTTGTCGTCAGCCAGCCTCCTCTCCCCCAGAAAACAAACTCCAAGACATCAAAGACCACGTCATTTATTTACAAAGGCCAGTGTGGACTTCGGGGAGTGGGGGAGCCACACAGACATCCTCTCTGGACTGCTCGGGGCCCTTTCCCATCTGGAGAAGATTCTGCTGCTCTCCCTTCCGCACGCTCGGCCGTGGGAACTCCGAGCAGCCGGCCTACGCAGCGGAGAGAAGAGCCTTCTCTGCGCTCCAACAGAGCGACGTCCAACTCCAGATCAAAGGCATGGCTGCCGCCCTCTCCTTTCCTTCCTCAAATAGGCCTGGAAGAAACAGTGAAGACTCCAAAGGCCAGGGACTGCAGGGGAGAGACTGCTGTACTACCCCCAACAGCAAGGAGGGGAGGGGTGGGAGGGGTGCTGCTCACAGCCCTGACAGCTTTGGGAGGGGCAACCGCACTACCCTCGGGTACCCGAGGGGCCTGGCTGGCTGGCCGGCCTGTATGTATTCTCGCCCCAGACTGGCCCTTTCGCCCACTCCTCTGTGGTGGGAGAGAGCTCGGAACCAGCAATCAACAAAGAACCCACCCTCCTGTGCAACTCACGGAGCATGTGTGTGTGCTTCCCCAGCACACACACCCCCTGCTGAGACAGACCCCAAGCCCTTCATGTCTTTTGAGGGGGGCTCAAACCAGTGGTACCTGGGGACACCAGCAGGTCCTGGCCCCGGAGCCGGTAGGACCCCTGTGAGCCCCTTCCTGCAGCTCCAGTTTGTGAGCATCTCTAGGCCTTCTCTGCCAGGCCTGAGCCTGCGCGCTCCCGCCTAAAACAGCTACTAGGGCTTCCGTTCCCCAAGTGTCAATTCCAACTTCTGAGCCTTTGACTTGGGTCCTTCTCCCCCTTCCCTTCCTCTAGCAAATCTCCATGGAGCTGGTCCGGGGCTTGTTAGTTCCTTGTACAGAGAGGGCGGTCGCCTCCCCCTTTAGAGAGGGAGGACAGGCATCTCCTCTCTCGGGACATCCCAACAAAGCCTGGATGAAGGGACCAGGACAGGGGGTGAGGAGGAAAAGGCAGCCTGTCCCCTGCCCCTCCCTCCGGGTGTGTGACCCCAGCTCGGATCAGGCTGCCGGTGGGAGGAGGGGGCGGAGAGAAGGAAGAGTCCCCACAAGGAACCATACAAGCCAAACCCTAGGCCCCGGAGGAACACCCCGTCCCCGCAGAGCAGATGGCAGTCCCCCTGCCAACCCCACGCCACCACCGGGATGTCTGCAGGCTGGCGGCAGGGCCAGGAGCTGGGGCCGGCCCACGACGCTGGAAAACGGCTCACGCAGCCCCGCTCAAGCGGGACCCGGATAGAAGACTCTGTAAGAGATGTGCAAGTAAACCCACAATTCTCAGAGCTCCGGGGCCAGGCCCGCGGCCCTGAAGCCAGCCTGCTGTCTGGAGGGACAGGGAGAAGATGGGGACGGCAGGCACAGAGGGAGGGGGCAGGCGGGTGGTGCGGCCGGGCGGTTAGGAGAGCTGCGAGCCCAGGAGTCTCTCGATGGCCGCGTTGACGTCCCCTCCGGTAGCAATGAGGGCCTGCAGGTTGGCCTCACGGTTGATGAAGCCCATGGAGTGGAGCTGGTCCAGCTGCTGCTGGAACCTCACTTCTGGCGTCTGCACCTGGAGGGACAGGCCTTGTGAGGTGGGGGGGGGAACCCCCCCCCGGGGCCCAGTCGAATCTGAGGTGTGCGGCCGAGGGAAGGGGAGCAGTAGGTCTTCTCGCACATCCTCAGGGTCAACCAGTGGGCAGGGCGGGGTGAGCTGCCAACAGGGGCCAAGGAGGCTGCTCCCCAGGCCACGAAACGACCGTGTAACAGAAGGGGGGTACGTCTTTCCGGACATTTCAAACAGATCAGCCCATGCTCCTAACTCTTTCCATCAGCGCTCTGGACGTGTTCGTGGCACTCTGGGAGCCGAACACTCTGCAGTCAGGAAGACGCACGCTCTACATGTGCTCTGGCCCCGGCCGTGTCCACACACGGAGCCATGAGAGAGGCCAGAGAAAGGTGAAGGGCCTCGCCTGAGGTCTACCCTACTCCTCAGCCAACGCCCTGGCCTTGCCTTTGTGGTCCAGGGCTCTAGGGACCCCATGCCCCAGGACACTCCTCCCCAGCCTCAGAGCCACAGGGCTTCAGTTTCCAGGAGCCCTACGATACCAGCACCAGGGCCGGGGCACGGTGGCTGAGGCGCACATTCCGGAGCCACATGCCGGGGCTGGGATCTCGGCTCCGTTACCGACTTACTGGCTGGGGGACTCTGAGCGAGGCACTTCACCTCTCTGCGCCTCCCTTTTCCCCTTACGACAGAGATGCAGCTCGCTGACAAGGCGTGGTGAGGCTCAGCGCGAACGCGCGCTCCCACGGAGCACTCAGAGCGGTGCCTGGCAGCCAGTGGGACGGTCACTGTTCCCAGCCCCACTCCACGGCTGTGGAAACGGAACTTGGGGATGGCGGCAACCCCCGCAAGGCCAGCAAGTGGCCGCCTAGGACCCGAGGAGCGCGGGGCTGGCTGACCCCGAGCGCTCCGCTGTCTCCATTCTGCTGCTCGGCCCCCTGCGCCGGCCGCCCCGCGTACCTGTGAGCTCCCACCGCCAGCCAACAGCTGGACCATCTGCTGCATGAGCTGCTGCTGGGCACCGGAGGCCCCTGCTGGAGGAGACGTGGCAGGGGGTGCCGGCGAGGAGGTGGGGGCCTCGGGCGCGGCCCCGGTGTTGCTGCCTGCCGGGGGTGCCGGGGTCCGGGACATCCCAAAGGAGCCAAGGCTGCAGGCAGGAGAGACCAAGAGGTGGGAGGCAGCCTCTGAGAAACGGACGGGCGCGTGAGGTGCAGAAGGAAGAGCGGAGGGAGGAGAGCAGACCCTCGGACACACAGTGGCAGCGGGGAGCGCCAGGGGAGGGGGTTGGGAGGAGGAACCCACACCTCGCTGCCCCCCCCCCGGCCCCCCTCACCTGGGTACCAGCCCAGGGGCCTCGGTCTGCAGGGTCTGCAGGCCCTGCTGGATCTGCAGCAGGGCCTGCATGGCGCGGGGGTTGGTGAGGACAGAGAGGGACTCCGGGTTCTGCATCTGGCGGGAAACAGGCACAGGAAGGCGGTGGGAGGTGGCAGGATGCGGGAGGCCACCCAAGCCCGAGGCCAGAGCTCTGCCCTGCCCTTCAACCCCCCCAGCCGCCACTCCTGGCCCCTCACGCACCTGCTGGAGGAAGATGGGGAGCTGAAGGCGCAGCTGCTCCTGGAGCTGGGGGTTCCCCGCAAAGAGCGGCACATTCACCATCATCTGCAGGGGGGAGGGCAGCAGGGGAGGCCTGGGCCCGCCCTCCCCAAGAATCGCCCCCCAGCACCCTCACCACTGCGGGAAGTGTGGGTCTCGGGGTCCCCCGGAGGCCGACGTGGGGCAGCGGGAGGAGATGGAGCCACACTCCGGGCCGCGAGCCAGGGCACCCAGCCCCACCCTGGTGCTGGCAGCAGTTCTGCAAGTTCACGGTGCTCACGCTGCGCCAGCCGCCTTCTGCGCACTTTCCTCGTATGCACTCCCGGAGCCCGCACAACTCCGTGAGGGAGGAGCCACCGCCATGAGCACTCACAGCAAACAAACCAGGAGGGAGGCTCGTAAAGGGCTTAGCTCAGAGGCGGTGGGCCTAAGACGCCCGCCCCGCGGTCTGGCTCGGGACTGACCTGACCAGCGCCAGTCACCGCCCCCAGCGCGCCCCCCTGGAGGCAGCTCCGTACCTGAGCAGCGAAGTCGGGGTTCTGGGCCAGCGTCTGCATCATGCTGCGCATGTAGGGAGCTGAAATCACATTCTGCATCAGCTGGGGGTTTTCCGAGATCTGCTGGAGGAGGGCCTGCATCTCTGGGCTGTTGAACACCCCTGGCACAAGGAGGAAAACAACGGAACAGGAGAAAAGGGGTCCAGATGGAAACCAGATGCTGCCCTTCCGTCTCCCTGCTTGCGACGCTGGGTGGTGACGCAGTTCAGAACGGCAGCGATAACACGGCCCCCAGTACAGGGGTGTGCATCCCTTTCCCTGCTGCGGCTGGGACCTGGGTCTCGGCCACGCCCCCGGCTGTCCCTGACACAGGCTCCGGTCCCCCGGACTCGCGGTTAGCAGACCTGTGCCTAGTGGCAGAGGCCCTTTCCTCAAACCAGATCTCGCTCAAAAACCAAGTATGCCAACGGTCTGCTCAGAGCCTGGCAGGAGGGCTGGAGCCCCTCCCACTCTGTCCTTCCTTCTCCTGGGGCTGGTCCAGACACCCCAGGACTGGAGCACAATTTTAAAGCCATGGATCAGGTTCAAACCCCTGATTTTACAAATAAGGGAGCTGAAGCACAAGGAGGGGAAGGGACTTTTGGATCAAGGTGCGCCCCCCACCCCCCCAGCCCAGGGCAGAGAAATCAGGGCATCTACTAAAGACACCCCCAGGGTCATATGTACGGCCACAGTCCAGATTCATGGGGCATCCCCAAGGATTTGCAGTGCATAACCCCCACTTCTGTCCATGGCAGATCTGCACATGCCTCTCCCCCAGCCTCATACCTGCCTGCCCCAGGTGTGCCCCGAGTCCTCCCCCACCTGCTCCTCCCCAGTCTGACCCACTGATGATGCTGGATGGTTCCAGCAGGGCCGCAGGAGCTTAGGAGGTGGGCCTGCTTTATTCGTGAGCCATTACCCAGG